GGCCACCCCCACCACCCTCTCCTCCGTCCAAACCCTCTTCGAAATCAAAAACCTCCGCAGCCTCCTCGCCGCGAACGATCTCCCCACCAACACCCCACAGAACCAGAACTTCCCTGCTTCCTCTATCCTCAAAATCCCCTTCCCTTGCTCCTGCCGTAACGGCACCGGAATCTCCAACCGCCTCCCCAACTACGTCTTCATTCCTAACGACACCCTATTCCATATCGCCGCCGAGGTATTCTCCAGAGTGGTGACGTTCACGCAAATCCAGAGTGGTGACGTTCACGCAGATCCAGCTTGTTAATAACATACCCAATCCAGATATGATATCGGTGGGTCAGAGGTTTTGGATCCCATTGCCGTGTAGCTGTGATGATGTGGAGGGCCAGGCGGTGGTGCACTATGGACATTTTGTGCAAGCGGGAAGTACGGTGAGTGGGATTGCAGAGCGGTTTAATACCACGGAGAGCACGTTGCATTGGGTAATGTGGTACATGGTGGTACCCAAATTGGTAATTGGGTAATGAGTATCACAGGGTGGTCGGAGAAGATGGATTGGGAAAGGAGGAGATGAGTGAAAATTCTGTGGTACATGGTGGTATCCCAATTGGTAATACATTGGGTAATGGGTATCGGCCGGAGAAGATGGATTGGGAAAGGAGGAGACGAGTGAAAATTCTGTGGTACATGGTGGTACCGCAATTGGTAATACATTGGGTAATGGGTATCGGCCGGAGAAGATGGATTGGGAAAGGAGGAGACGAGTGAAAATTCTGTGGTACATGGTGGTACCCCAATTGGYAATACATTGGGTAATGGGTATCACAGAGTGGCCGGAGAAGATGGATTGGGAAAGGAGGAGACAGTGAAAATTCTGTGGTACATGGTGGTACCCCAATTGGTAATACATTGGTACCTGSCGGATTAATGTTCACCGGAGGCCGGAGATCGGAGATAGGAGGTCGGAGAGAGGAGTTTTTTAAAAATACCTAAAATGCCCTTTAATTATAATTTGAACTCAAATTACCATAATTACTAATTTCCTTATTTATCCGTTGATTTGTGGTTAAGATGAGTTCTCACAGTTACCACAAACAACTCAGTTCTCCCTTGAATAGGCCCCTATATATATATATATATATAGAGAGAGAGAGAGAGAGAGAGAGAGAGAGAAAGAGTTTGTTTCAAATACAACCCATCGCATTTGTACAACCAATGCAACCCATTAAATTGAGATATTTATGGAAATGATGATAGTTCATTTATTATGATTTGAATATTTATGGAAGATGAATATGGTTCATTAATTATGATCAATACYTTATATTAKDAAACAATCAAAACTTCTATGAAATCACATATTAATCAAATGAAATGGACGGTTGAGATTGGGTTGGATTGGTTGCACAAATATCAAGTGTTGTATAATAACCAACCCCCCCCTCTCTCTCTCTCTCTCTCTCTCTCTATATATATATATATATATATATATATATAAGTATCTAAGAGTTTCATAAACAACGTAATCTCCATATGAATAAACAAGTTTTTTACTTCATGCATCATAAACGTGGTTTTACATCGTTTTAAGGTCTTTCGTGAAGAACTTAGCCTTACGCGTTTTAGTTGGGTGATATAAAGTTCCATTTTAAGGTTCAACGCGCTATGCGAGCCGACTAATCCCAGGGCGACCACCTGCTTTGCAGGTAGCCCAGAGTCACCGCATTTGAACCTCCGTGGCCACAAGGGGATTCTTGTTCCTTCTTGAATTTGAACCTGGAACCTCCAGACAATTTTGACCTTTGTAGTCAAGCTGAAACCAATCAGACGCCACCCTTGTGATTAAAAATGAACTTAATTCAAATCTTGATGGATCATTATATCCTAAAACTCCACTCGTTTTCTTCCAAACCCGTTTTAACACGTCCCAGCCTGCCGTTTTTCCGCACAGGTAAAACCTATATACCTTATTTTTCCTTCACTTTTAAAGATATGGTCCAAAAGTGTTTGATTTAGGGTACATTTGGACAAAAAAGAGGTTTGCTTTCCATAGAAGTAGTCCATGATTTGGGGCACCTTTGAACATTACAACCAAGAAAAAAACAAAGAAATTGTGGGTGAAGACCATAAATTTCAACCTTATAATAATTATTTAATTTAAAAATAAAATAATAATGGCATGCCAAAAAGAAGGCTTTACAAGCATCAATACCATGAAAGGGAATATAATTTAATAAAAAAAGTCCCAAGAAAATCAAAAAAGAATAATTTCCCACCTCATCTTTTCCCACTAAAACCCATATAAATTATGGAATTATTGTATTTAAAATAATTAATTTTGTGTTTAAATTTATTAAATGGGTGTTTGGGATTGCTTATTTTAAGTGTTTTTTGACTTATTTCAGTCTGTTACTGGTGATAAGCTAAATGCTAGTGTTTTGATGAGAAAAAAAATAAAATTGTTTATACCGGTGCCAAACCGGTAATAAGCAGTTTTTGATAAGATAATCTTTCCTGACTTATGGAAAACTGCTTATTACCAGTTTATCATTTTAACTCTGTTTTATTAATGTTTGTTAATTATTAATCTTATTGATATAAATTATTAATCTTATTTAAAATAATTAATTTTGTGTTTAAATTTATTAAGGGGGTGTTTGGGATTGCTTATTTTAAGTGTTTTTTGACTTATTTCAGTCTGTCACTGGTGATAAGCTAAATGCTAGTGTTTTGATGGGAAAAAAATAAAACTGCTTATACCGGTTCCAAACTGGTAATAAACAGTTTTTGATAAGATAATCTTTCATGACTTATGAAAAACTGCTTATTACCAGTTTATCATTTTAACTCTGTTTTATTAATGTTTGTTAATTATTAATCTTATTGATATAAATTATTAATCTTATTGATATAAATTTTTGTCAGAAATATTATTATAAATGATGGAAAATAAATTTTTACATGTTAAAATTCAAATAAGTTAATAAACAATCTCAAATACTCTCATAAGTCAATAATATGGAAGACTGTTATTTTTGGTCATTTTACATATATAAGCAAAATTTGCCAAACACTAAAAAACAATTTATCAGCTTATTGTTTTTTGGTACCGCTATAAGCTAATCCAAACACTTTTGATAAAACTCCGATTTGATACCATATAAGTTAATAAACATTTTTATAAAAAAAACATAAGTTGTTTTAAATAAGCAAAACACCCCCTAATATATTAGTTTAATAAAAAAAATATAGTATTTTTAAGGGCAATTTCACTTGTAATTTTTTATGCTTTAATTTTATAATATGTAACATTTCAATTGAAAAATCAACATTTAAATCATGATTAATTTTTTTTTCTAATTAAATAAAATGAAAGAAATAAAAGTACGTTTGAAAGATATAAATAGATCTGTTATTTGGGTTTAAAACGAGACTGGCTGGTCTCTTTCTTTAAACCAGTTACGTCAAAAGCGGTTTATTATAGTTGGTAATTTCGATTAATTAATTTCTAAATTAGGTAGGTTAAAGTTATATCAGTTTTTTTATAATAAATTATATAAAAAAACCAGTCAAACTCTGTAAAAGTTGCCAAAAATATAATAAAATGTTTAAAATATAGAAAATCTCTTTTGTTGACAAATTAGATTATTATTTTAACAGTATAATTTTATAATCAAAATTAAGTATATATAAAAAAATTTGGCAAATACAAATGTGAATTTTACTGATATACCCTTCTACAGAGGATATACGAGTGAGATAAGTGGTAAAAACTAAATGTATGTAAGTGTCTGGTGGGCGTGTGAATAGCAACCACTAATAAAAATTGTGGATCTATCCAATCACACGGATCAAGTTGTTAACTTATTTAGGAGTTGTTTGTTTACCTCTTAATAGTTTTATTAAGAGACATTCTCTGAATCGGTAAGAGATGAATTTTGTTTGGCAAAATTAAATTTGTCTATTAATGGTTCTAAAACCATCTGAAGGATTTTGTATCATGTATATCTTTTAATCATTCAGTGTAATTATATTTTATTTTGCATTATATAGTGAAAACCTCTTTATCATTTTACACCAAACCGTTCTGCAACTGACAAACAAGAAAATGATATATTTTGAGGTAATAATTTGAAAGAAAAAAACAAGAAAATGTTAAAAACAAGAAAAAGGAGGTCGGAAAAAGGAATAGGAAAAAGGAAAGAAGGAGGTCGGTTCCTTGCGCCCGACGTTCTCTTAGGTTCGGGTTTGGAATTGGGTTCGGAGTTGGGTTCGGTTTTTTCTACTCCATTATCATACAATTCAAACTGACTTTGTGTGAGCGGATAAGAACAACCCACTCCTCTCTCATTTCTTCGATTCGACTCCCCAATTTTCTCCGACCACCACCACTCTCCTCCGACGTCAAACTGACGATCGTCAACCAAGAACCCACCGTAGTCCGTGAAATCAAGCCTAAGAATCGCCGTATTATGGTGTGTAATACTCTGATACTCTCTATTTTTATGTTCAGTTATTTATTATGGTTTTGTTTTTCTGTGTGCTTAGCAATTGAATCGATGTAATGTAGGGTGCTGGAGGACCTGATGAAGAAGATAACAAATGGCCGCCATGGTTGAAGCCATTGCTTCGTGAACGCTTTTTTGTTCAATGCAAATTGCACGCAGATTCGCATAAGTCTGAATGTAATATGTACTGCTTGGATTGTATGAACGGCCCTCTCTGTTCTCTCTGTCTTAATCACCATAAGGACCACCGCGCCATTCAGGTTTATATTCCGCTTTCGGCCATTGATTCTTCCTTTCTCTTCTTCAACTTTATTGGTTCAGACTGTTTTCACCTGAGTCTCAATCATTTCGAATTTGAAACATTCGAGTGTCGTGAACTCAACAGCTTTATCTCAACTAATTTTGATTTCGAAAAGGTCTCGGTTTTCATCAAATTTGATTGACGACTTTCATCTGGTTTATCATCGATTTTGAATTTACTCCATCTATTTCATATCTGCTTTCACCAAATTTCATCGACGTAACTGCTTGTTTTGATCCACATATGGCTTTATAACGATTTCTGAACAAGTGTCGTAACGATTTGTGGAAAAGAATGATTAAATGATTTTACAATCCGATCATTCATCATCTGATTGAGTAATTTTGTTGATTACTATACAGATTCGTAGGTCATCATATCACGATGTAATTAGGGTATCTGAGATTCAAAAGCACTTGGACATCAGTTCAGTTCAGACCTACGTAATCAACAGTGCAAAGGTTGTGTTCTTGAACGAACGGCCGCAGCCGAGGCCGGGAAAAGGTGTTACAAATACTTGCCAAGTATGCGAGCGTAACCTTCTCGATTCCTTCCGATTCTGCTCACTTGGCTGTAAGGTAAAATTACTGAATTCGATCACCACAAAAGTTTCCGATTGGATCAATATATTTCTCGACAATGGATGATTGATTTCGTGATTCTGATCGGCTCAGATTGCTGGGACATCGAAGAATTTCCAACGGAAGAGGAAGATTTCGCCGGAAAACAAGCATTTGATGACCGGGATGTCGGATTCCGAGGATTCTTATAGCAGCAGCAGCCATGGGAGGCGGAGGAGTAGTTATAACGTCAGGGTTCATAGCTTTACTCCGTCAACGCCACCGCCGACGGCCGCCAGCTTCAGGACGGCGAAGAGGAGAAAGGGTATTCCTCATAGAGCACCAATGGGAGGACTATTCATAGAATACTAAACACCCCCCTAGACTTTCGCTTAATTACTATGAAGTCCCTTTAGTCTTTACTCCCTACCAATTTACATCCCTCTCCACTTCTTGTGCGGAAAAAAGACCATATTACCCCTTAAGCTCCTCCACTTGTACAAAGAAGCAACCTATGGGATGCGATAATCTAGTAGCATTACTCTTGTCTAGAAAGGGTAAAAATGGAAAAAAGATTTAAAAAAAAAAACTTATAGTAGTTTGAAGTAGGGGTAAAAATGTCAAAATACTTAGTTGGATGTTTATACAGTTTTTCTTGGGTTGAAAAAAATGTAATTATGGTCTTGTGGTACTTCTATAATTAAATGAAATAAGTCTTGTATTATTTTGTGGTTATATTTCTGTATTTAATCAGATATATCGTATAATACTGGTATTTTTTTTATATGCATAGTTAACAAGTTAACAGTTTTTTTTACCATGATTTGAAACAACCTGTATCGTTATTTGTATTATAAATGTTCTACGGATACAATGTGTGGGTCAATTTGGGTTTTCGACAAGTGGCTCTTATTTAATTGATAGCATGAAGTTGACTCGATATTACTTATAAATATCTACTCCTTTTCGATGACTCTTCCCAACCCTGTGGGCTACTCGTTCATCGCCTAAAACGATATGATAACGTGAAGGGGTAAGCGTGAAATTTACGCGAGATGGATTGAGATCAAATATTTATACAGTTTATGATTTGTATGCGAAGTACAAACCACTAATGCAACATGTATTGTTGTGAATGCACATGATATTGACATTATGTACTTCATACTGTACGTTTTAAATGTATAATCTTTTTGGAAGTTGTATCTGTATGAATCAGTTTGCAAGCATCTTGACTGATCATATGGAGATGTGAATGTAAGAATAAGAAAAATCTCAAATAACATTGATTGAATAGATTCGAACCAATGACATATAAATGAGCAACAGTGTGTAACAAAATTATTTTATTTATTTAAAAAGACTTGGGTGGCGTTTGTTTTTTAAGATGTGATGAAGTCTGAAATCTTATTTCAGTTCTGATTTATAAGAGGTGGTACTGAAGTTTGAAATCTGAATCGATAACACTGTTTGTTTTTGTAAACTGATAATCGTCTGAATTTGTTTAAATTGTCTATTTTACCCATTAAAAATTATAGTGTTGAATTTATAGATAAATTTATACAATTTCACATATTTATTTATCATTATTATGAATTTTACATCTAAAATTATATAATTAACATTCATTTAAACGAAAATATGTCATTAATGGTGTTTAACACATTTACATCATATTTAAATATATTAATTGAAAGAGGTGATGATTGATTTAGTAAGGATTGACTGAGAGAAATGATCGATCAAGGTTAATCGATTGAGAAACGTCGTTGTTGAGGATTTGAACAACAATAAAAGGTTGGTTTACCTCTTATCAGATAAGCGGAAAATAAGACATAAGTGGCTCTGAAAAATTGAAAAAAACAAACAGTCTGAATGACCTTGTCTCTTAACGAATCAAATATAATAGTCTGATAAAAGTTTTTTTTTATGAAAAACAAACAAGGTCTTATTTAAATAAATAATAAAATATTTTATTATATTAATTTTCACCAACAGTTTTCCTCAAAATCTTATATTAAATTAGATTTTAGGGTTTTAAGCTTTATATCTAATGGATACATCCAATTGTTTAAAATGGTCTAAAATAAAGAAAGAAGAAAATTTAAAATTCTTTAAATTTGAAAAAATATTTTTTTAATTATATTTCCATCAATAAATTTGTTTTGCAGTTAAATGTTTGGGGATAAATAATATTTTTTTAAATTAAATATTTTAATAATATAATTAATGCTGTATTTTTTTTAAAAAGAGAAGCTGTTGGAGTTGAACACAATTTCATTTAAAGATTTTTAATTTTGATTCTTAATTTCAGATCATTTTATAGTTCTGAATAACTCGTTATGGCCTCGTTATGGCATCGAGGCTTGGCTTCGCCCCCATATGGCTTCATTTTGAGGCTTGACTTTGTTGAAACGCATTATGGCGTGTGACGACACGTTACGACGTGTTACGACTTGTTATTTTGTAATACATGTTTTTTTATAATTTTTTAAACATATAACTTGGGGGGTGAATAATAATTATGCACGACAAATAAGTTTTAAATAAACAAGAAAAGGAAACATATTGATCATTTCATCGTCATTGTTGATGACAACAACGGAAGTCTATACGATCTCGATCTCGTTAACGATTCTATCATTGATTTCTCTTGATTTTTTTATCGATCATATATCGCAATTATAGATTATCAAAATTTTTAGTTATTTCTTGATCAAATTTTGTATTTTTCAATATGAATCTAAGTCCAGAAAGCGATCTTGAGCAAAATATTGACTTTGATCATGAAACTATAATGTTATATGTGTATCTAAGATTAATATGTGAATCAATTAAATAGTTCATATGTGAATCTTCGAGCTTATATGTGAATCAGTTAAATAATTCATACGTAAATCAGTTAAATAGTTCATATGTGAATTACGCGAGTTCACATAGGAATAAATAGTTCACATAAGAATAAATAGTTCATACGTGAATCGCACGGCTTCACATATGCATTTGTTTATCACCTATTTGTAAATTTTCAAAACAACCCCTCTATCTTTTACATAGTTGTTACCATGTTCGATGCTGCACAATCTACCCGTCAAATCTTGACCGTAAATTTTTTAATGGAAGGGCTAGGATCACTTATCTACTTCTCATACATCTATCACTTCTCAAGTGAACTTATATATATATATATATATATATATATATGTATATATATATATATGTATGTATATATATATATATATATATATATATATATATATGTATGTATGTAGAGGAGTGATCATATGAAAACCGCCTTCATTTGTGTAAACCGTGCAAACCACTTTCATCCGTCGATTTCATTGTTTAATCTTATGCAATTTTTTCATGAAATTGTTTAATTTTGTGAAATTGTTTCATATAATACTTTTTTTGATGAAGTTGTTTCATATATGGTTGTGAAATTGTTTCATATATGGTTGTGAAATTGTTTCATATAATACTTAATGAAACCGTTTCATGTATTTCTCTAACATTAATGAAATTGTTTCATGTATTTCTCTAAAATTAAAATAATGAAGATGATAATATATATGATTAACACCCTCCACAATAAAAATGATTAATCAACCTCTCATAATTACAAAAAAATGAACAAAATGAAAAATTATGATTGGTTGAATACGGTTTGTACAAATTGAGTGGTTTGCATTTGATCGTTCCCCTATGTATGTATATATATATATGGTTGGGTTCCAGTGGGAAATGAAGTAAAAAGTTATAGTGAGAAACATAAGAAGAAATCTACAACTTTGAACCAATCATAATTAAATGTCAACACTAATAAGTTGCATCAGATCAATTCTCTTATAAAGCACAATTTATAGGTCGAAATGAGATTAAAAGTGATTAAGGGTTCAAATCTCTTTATATGTTTCTCATCATAACTTTTATTCTCACACGATACTTCACCTATATATACATACATACGTACGTACGTACATACATACATACATACATACATACATACATACATACATACATACATACATACATACGTACATACATACATATGCTGTCTCAAGACACACTTTGAAAAACGTCATGACCCCGTCATAACTCATAAGGCTTAAGGTTTAACCCCATCGTCACACTACATCATGCTCTACATCATTTAAAACATGGATGAATTTTAAATAACCTATTTGAAATAATCTTAAATCAGGTACTTTTTATTTTTAATTAAAGAAATATAAACTTCAGGTTTTTCAAATAAAATAATTATAGATTGAAAATTCAACGATGTAGGTTTCATATTAACAATTAAATATAAATAAGAAGAAGTTTTTTTATCTCGCATTATCGAGGTCCTCGTTTAAAAAAATACAATGTCAACCATAAGGGTGGTGTCTAATTGGTTTAAGCATGACTCCAAAGGTCAAAAGCACTTGAAGGTCTCATGTTCAAATCCAAGAAAAAATAAAAATCCCCTTGTGACCACAGAGATTCAAATGCAGTGACTCCAGACTATTTGCAAAAGAAATGATTGCCCTAAAATTTAGCAGCTTATATAACGAATTAGATATTCAAGTTAATAAAAAAAATTCACTACCAGCAGTTTTATAATAATTATATTTTGTGGAAAACACGTGTTTTTTTTTCTTTTCGATTTTTTTTTGCAATCGTGTGGTTTGGTCCCTAGTAATCATCGACATCCGTGTGGTGTTTAAAACGTGGGTGGGTACCTTTTCATAGGGGATATAAATGGTGCTCTTTTGGTTCCTTTTTTTTTTCCACTTTCTCATAAATACACATTAAAAAAATAACTCCGATTAATAATGGAATAATCCGAAATCGATAAACGAAATAACAGATTAATTGGATGGGTAATAAAATGGATCCGGATTAAGAACTCCCTATATCTGATAGATGCAAAAACCAGTTAATCACTTGAAGACACGTATTCAAAGCACTTTGTAATATGGACGTGTTAATTCGTTTAAAGCGTACTGGAGTCCCATATCGACTAGACTTGGACCATTTATCCTGTATATATGTTAGAACCTTCATTTTCTGTTGAAGGGCTTATTTGGAAAGTGATTTAGGAGTTCTATATATTCTCACAAAACGTGTTTGCTTTTTGTTCAGCAAGTAAACAGTTTTTTTTTCTAGATAATGGAGATGTTGGCATTCAGCCATCAGTTTCCAGACCTACCAATCATTTCTAGCCTTTGCATACCGTCTACGTCCGCTGACCACAAAACGTCTGCCAAAAACAACCGTCACCTCCTTCGCTCGTTGGCGGACTATGCCTCTCCTCCGTCGGTCATCACTTTGTTGCTTCTCATTGCACAATTTTCTTGGTCGTTATAGTTATATTGTCGCTAGGAAACATTCCAGTTTGTCTTCGCAATAATATCATTCACAGTTTCTCGCCACTCTTAGGGTCTGTTTTTTTTAAAGAACCTCTTGGTGCCTCTTAAGCTTGAATCAATCAGATGTTTTTGTTTTCAAGCTGTTTGATTTCTTTTCAAAATAAGAGTTGAAAAGCTCTGACCCTCTTCTAACATTTTAAGAGATACTCTAAACCCTTAACTGGCTCTTATTTGCATATGCTCTCGATTTTGATCTCGCCTCTCAAACTGATAACCTAAACCCTACCGATCTCTCAAGCCGCATCGATTTCAAGCATGTTGACCTCTCAAGCTATCGATCTCTCCAGATTTGCAAACCCAACTTGATCTCTGCCCCTCGAG